GCGCAGGGCGCTGCAGAAAGCCTTTGCTTCGAGGAAGCTTGGGAAGGGGCGCTCGCGTGTCCCCAGCCCGGGCGCCCGCCGGCCGGGTACAGCCGAGGGACGCGGCCGCTCGCACGCGCCGCACCTCCTCGGGTCTCCCCACCCGTTTCTCTGCCTCGCTCTTTCCCACTCTCCCTCCTCTTCTCGCTCCCTCGGTATATTTCCACCACCTCAGTCCACCTTACTGTGTATTTCTCTTTTCTATTTCCACCTTCTGTTTCCTTCTCCTTTCTAATCTCCTCTCTCTACTTCTCTTTATATTTCTATTTTCTCTCTTTTTACTTGTCTCCACTTTCTCTCTCTCCTTCGTTATATTTCTTCTCCTTTTCCTCTCCCTCCCTCTCCCCGCTCCCACCTCCAGCTCCTGTGCTAGGGGTCATGAGAGAGCTGTCTGGAACCAAGCATTTGCCCCCGGTTTTGGGGAGGGTCTGTGGCTCGGTGACGGCACACTTGGCAGCGTTTCACATGCACGCACACACTCCTCGGTGCTCGGAATTTGCTGGCAGTTCACCTCCCCGCCTGTCGCTGGCCACGAATGCTTTGGAAAGGTTTACCTTGGGCTCTGTCCCTAGCTACAGAGAGAGCCACCTCTTAAAAGAGTGATTCCAGTGGTTTGAAGGTGGCGCCGCTCCCCCACCTGCCCTGCCCATCAGGTGCATAGGGTCGAGGTGGATAGTGTTGAGCTCCAGGCCAGGTCAGCTTGACTAGGAGGTAGGCGGAGGATCCGAGGTGGCTTCCAGGCATTGATGGCGCCTGAGTGCGAGGTGGCCTGCTGGCCTTCTCTGCTGCCACGTTTCTCAGGGGATGGTCACCCAGGCCACGGAGACAGCTCTCTGCCTCAGGCTTTGCGCAGGTCTGAATCACCACCTCCTGCCCCTGGACCTGCCCCAGGAAGGTGGGGAGACCTGGCCCATGGTTCTCCTAGGTCATCCTGCTGACGGGGACCTGGCAAGGCGCTCCCTTACACTGGGATCCGCTCCTCCACCAGCTTGTCAACTCTACTGGACCTGAGGGTTCTGGGGGCCACAGAAGCCTTAAGGAGGTCTAGGTTTCTTTGCAAGGTAGCCAAGGCTGGGGGCTTTTTTTAAGCAGCGCCTTAAATCCTGAGGGAGATTTGGCCTTGGCAAGATGCAGAAACAACCCGGCCCTTTTTGACTTTTGAATAAAAGATATTTATGCAGCACTTTGTAAACTAATTGGTCATGCAAATATAGTTGGTTCTCTACATATATGTAAATGCATGCATCTGTATGTATGTGTGTACACACACACATTTAGTAGGCCCCTGAGGTTCATGGTGGTAGGGTGACATCTGGGAGCAATGACCGTGCAGTTCGGTGCAGAGGCCGCTGAGATTGGCTGGTACTCACTCAGGCGTGTGATTCTGAGACGCAAGTGTGCAGGATGCTTCCTTCCCCCATGCTGCAGAGACCCATCCATTACACTCTATCAGTCTGCACGTCTCACACGCAGATGAGAGATTTGCCTAAAAACCCGTCAGAAGCATTCAGAGCTCGGCGCAGTGGGGGGGCTTTGCTAAAAGCTGATGGATTAAGTCTTGTCCCCGCCCACTCCTGGAATCCCTGTGTGTGGTTCTGGGGTGTAGTCTCCGGCACGGTCTGCCTTATAAAAATATCTGCAGCTGGATATTTATTACATGCGCTTATTTTGAGTAGCAGTGTCTTTCTCAGTTTATATAGTCACATTTGTCTCTCATCAGAATGGAGAAAAGAGGGTATTTTTTTTTTTTTCAGCATTTTTCCTGATTTTCCTGCCACCCTCTACCCTTTAATGGCGTTTGGAACAAGTTGGAACATTGGATGGATTTTCTTCCTCCTAAACCTGTTTCCATCTTTCTAAGTGGGGTCCTAATGGGGGATCTACAGCAGATTCCCCTGAGGTTTATTAACTAAAACAGGGCGGGAGGGACCTTACTGTTCACGTACCAGGAATAGGAAAACAACAGAAAGCCCCAGGTTGATTTGTTGGATGATTTTCTGCCTCCAAAGCAGGTCAATTGGGTGCCCTCTTGCTACACCCACATTATGGTAAATACTCTTTACAAAACCTGCAGCTTCCTTCAAATGCAGACCGTAACTCAGGGAGGCTTACTGAATCGGTGAATCAGCTTGATCCACAAGGAAGTAAATTATTCACTGGCAAGAGCTGGCTCTCTTTTCTGTTTATCTTCCCTGAAAGTTGAGAGCCTCTGCATGCCAGTCTCTACTCATTTGGGCGAGTTATTTGTCCACTCAGAACCTCAGTTTCTTCATCTATAAAGTAGGTTACATCCTGTCCACGGAGAGCAAGATTTTCATCTCAATAGGAACTGGAACCCACTGATGGTGTTCTAACTTAAAGAAAGAAGAGAGGGGGATGTTCAAGAGAAATCTCTGCCTTGTCCTTGGGTGGCCACTACAGTTTATAGCAGTGATTTTCGGCCCTGGCTGCACATTAGAATCATTCGGGGGAGATTTGAAAAAAAAAAATCCATACTGGTACCCCGAACCAAGTTAGAATCCCTGCAGGTGCACTCTGGGCATCCTAGTTTTTAAAAGCTCCTTACGTTCAGCTGCTGGTTGAGAACCACTAGTTTAGGAAAGAACGCTTGAAAGATTTCAGGTGAGAAGAACCTGTGAGCCCCAGTTCTGTCCCTTACCACTCGTACTGTGAGACCCCTCTTTACTTGTGGGTCCTTGTTTCCTTGTGTCTAGAGGGATGAAAGCCGTATGGCTGATACTATTGGAGGCCACGTTGGAAGGATTTCACACGTATTGTAGTTAATTTTCCCGAGAACCTTTTTGAAGCATCCCTCCATTTCACAGAAAAGGAAACTAAGACACCAAGAGATCAAGTAATTTGTCCAAGGTCCAAGGAGGTGGTGGGCCCTGCTTTGAACTCTGTTTGACTCCAGGCCCTGACCGCTAAGCCACTATAATATTGTATTGCTTCCCAGGTTGTCAAATGATTCACTAAAATGCCCAGTCCCTCCCTATTGCTGGCAGAGTCCATCTCACGTTGGGAGGGCCATTCATTGGGCAAAGATTAGTTAGGCATGAGTTAAAATGTTCAGGCAAAGTAATGAATGGGTACAGTATCCATCAAATAGTACAGTAGGGCTTTTGAAAGAGGTTTTGGAGCCAGCCCTGATGGCCTAGCGGTTAAAGTTCAGCACGCTCTGCTTTGGTGGCCTGGGTTCGGTTCCCGGGCGCAGAACCACACCACTCGTCTGTCAGTAGCCATGCTGTGGCGGCGGCTCACGTAGAAGAACTTACAACTGTACACAACTATGTATTGGGGATTTGTGGGGAAAAGAGAGGAAGACTGGCAATAGATGTTAGCTTAGGGTGAATCTTCCCCTGCAAAAAAAAAAAGAGGTTTTGCTTAGCTGGGTTCTCCCCACCCTGCAAATTCTTAGCCCACCCCCCTGGGCCAAGCTCACTCAGATGTTGATTCTTAACATTAACTAAGCAGACCCTGGGCTGATGTGATCCCAGGAGAAAGTTCGTGTCCAGTGGACAACAGTCAAGTGTCCGCCATTGCTTTCTGGGCCTGCATTCCATTCTTTTAGGGCCAAGCACGTGAAAACCGTTTCCCAGAGAGCCCCTCTCGGGTGGTGGTGTAAGGTCCTGGCAGGTCTTTCTGTGCAGCATCTGGTTTGCCTGGCCTGGTGGGAGTAGGTCTGGATTGAAATCCCATCAGGCATTTCTGGGGCCTGACCCCGCCTGCCGCTGTAGCTTGTTGCCTGTTTTCAGCACCCCCGTCCACTGGTTCCCGTGGAACTCGTCACTGAAGCGTAACTTGCCTACTTGCAGAAAAGACTTGGCATCTTTTGAGGTTACCATTGTGGAGCGCCTCTGGGTAGAAGAAAGCTTGCAGGAGGTCCGGGAGCAACAGCAAAGTGCCTTCCAGTGGTTTATTTTATTTTCTGAGCATGAGTTGCAGGTATCAGTATGGGGGGGTGAGGACACCTGTCAAGTGCCTGTCTATGTCAGTGAATTACACATTATGAGAGAGGTCAGCAGCTTAATCCAGGGAGTGGGGCTGGACTCAGAACCCGAGAATGTAGCCTCCGTCCAGGGTGTGGGACTTTACCCTGAGTCGTCTGGCTGACCACTTGCAGGATTGGCTACTCAGGTCCCCATAGGCTGCTGATCGACAGCTGGCCTCCTGGTTATCACTTGCTTTCCTGTATGCACTGAGGAGCAGGGAACTAGCACATTACATCATAATCACACGAGGCGGTCAGGTCCTAACTTAGGTGCTACTGTGGACGCTGACCCTAGCTACCCAATTCAAGCCCACTCCCACGGCCACGCCAGCCCCAGGGCCAGCGCTCTCTATATGACATCTGCTCTACTGTCATCGTAGCAATTGTCACGCCCCTAAATGAACTTGTGCATTTCTTTGCTTCTATATTGTCTGTCCCCTGCCCAAGACCAGATGCTTCTCAGTACAGCGATTGCATCCACGTATGCTCGGTGCTCACAGGGCACCCAGCACGTGTGTCCCTGAATGAGTGCATGTGATGACGTTAGAGAGAGGAGAGTGAGCTCCCGGACCTCGGTGACTTTCCGAGAGCTCTCACTCGAGTGATGGCCTTAACCATGGGTGACACTTTTAGCCTGAGCACCCCCAAACTGCTATTGCTTCTTTACACCTTAAACATAGCGAACATCCGTGTATCCCCTTATACACTATCTAAGTACATTTCAGTATAAAAACTTTTAATTTGGTGAAAAGGAAATTAAAATATTAAACAGTTGTATGAGATGAAATAACACACCAGTACTTTTTGGAATATCTTGTGTTAAACTCCATACTTGTCTTCCCTAATCCGTGTGCTGTTGGGGAAGAGGAGGAAACGGCAGAGCTCCAGGGAGGATGGTATGAGAGGCGGGAGGGGGCTCTTCCCATGGGTCAAAAGGGTCCACAGAGAAGAAGAAGCTGAGGGTCTGGGGGGAACTGAGGCAGCTGGGGCAGGTGATTATCGGACCATGAATGCACTTGAGATGTGCTGTGAGTTTAAAAAAGAGGGGGGAGAGGGATGAAGGAGAGTAGGACTCAAAGGTTTAGTCAAAAGGTTGTGTGGCTCTCCTTCTCTGCTGGAGACCCACGATGCCTGGGTGGAGGGACGGCTGCAGCCACCTTTGGTGGCCCCTCCTGCAGCCTTTGACTCGTATGCAGGAAGCCAAAGGAGCGGGGAGAATGACTTCTGCTTTTCCAAATAAGGGAGCGATGGTTTATTTCAGTTTGAGAGTCAACCTGCAATTTTGGCTGAAGAGATTGACTCTGCCTTGTCATTATGGTTTTTTCCCTTCCAAAGGATTATTGCCGGAGGAGACCTGTGCATATGACGAGTGGATGGGAGAACTAATCCCCTATTTGATAAATCGGTCAACCGCTGTCTCCGCTTCCTTGGCATGAGGCCAGCACAAGTGTTCCAGGCCCGTGCACAGCTGAGAGAGAGAGAGTGTGTGTCCATCTGTCGTGTGCATGTTCAGATGCCCTTGGGAGCAATGGCACTGTGGGGACATCAGATAAGACTGGGGAAAACCACTGGCTTGGGGGAAGCATTAGTAGAGTGAGTACTGTTTCCAGGAACCAGTGAGAACACTTCAACACTTTTCTCATGTGTCACCTGCGGCTGCCACAAAGCATACAGTAGGGTGTGTCCCCATGGTTTTCCGGGAGGCTGTCACCTTTCTCTGCTTGCCCCTTGGGACTCAAGCCCACTGGTGGTGCTTTGCTCTCCTCGTGCGCTCACACCGGGCAGGGTGATGCCCCGGTTTCCAGGAACTGGTTTGTTCCCAGCCGCTGGGAGCTGAGGAATCCCAGCCAAGGGCTTTTGTGGCTCCGGAATGTCTCCTGGCCTCCTGATGGCCTTTCTTCCTCCTCTCTCTGTGTGGAGAAGGTCGCTGATGGTGTGAAAACATGGAAGAAGAAACAGCCTCTGTGTGTTGTGCTGGCTTCCTCCTTGCCTCCAGCCCACAGGTCCAGGAGGCAGATCCTAGCATAGCGCTAAGGACGCGTGACCTTAGTTTGGTCACCAGGCTGAGTGTGGGACCACATTGGGGCGTCCAGCTTAAGTGGAGGCGCCCTCCTTCAAGGCTGTGCCTGCCAGTGGTCTGGTGACCCTTCCTCCTCCCCTATCTGGCCCTCGCCTGCTTAGAGACAGGCAGAGCCCTGTCTAAGTCTGACTGCTGCCTAGATTGTAGTGCAGCCTGAATCGCTTTGCCTGCACCCGTGTGGCCAGTGCAGGAAGTGATGCTGCGTGGCTAATGAGAAGAGCTGGCAGCGCTGCTGGGCTGGGAGTGGGCAGGTGGCCGGTCTCTTGCTCCCAACGAGCACTCTTGTCACTGGGATGCTGGAGTCACCTGAGAGTCTCAGGGGCAAGATGCCAGCCAGGGAAATACAGCGCCTTAAATGTCCAGAACAGGGTTTTTGGGCTGCTTCTTTAAAACCCAGTGAAAACCTCTCTCTCTCGCATTTGGCTTGTTGAGATTCCTAGGAACGTGGGACAGTGGTTCAGCAGCGAAGCCAGAGGAGATTCACAAGCAAGACCCTGTGGGTTTCCTGGGGCCCTGCCTGGGGCATAGTGACGTGGGGCGTCTGAGGCCCTGTGACCTGCCAACCCTTCAGCAGGGCCCTGGCATCAGTCAGAACTTGGAAGGGGAGGAGCAGGAAGGGGCAGGAGGGTCTCAGGGACAGAGGAGTTTATCTGTCACCCTTTCTGGGGGCCAGCATTCTGGGTCCCTGACGTACTTTCATTTGATAAACTCTTACGTTTTAAAAATGCCTTCTTTTAAGAGTTATTTTTTTAGGAAGGCCACCCAGACCTGCTGTGTGGAGGTTGGGAAATCGACGATTGGCTTTTCTGTATTTTGGCTGCTGTGGGGACCCCTGTCCCGCTGCCACCTGCCACCTGGATTTACATGTTATGTTGCATTTGGAAACGTCTCCTAGTGTTAACCTCACCCGCACTGGTGTTGGGGAGTCTCTTGGTTACACCCCCGAGGGGTGCTTTCTGCTCTGGGCTTAGTAACCGGTTCCCTGCCTGGGTTTAGGGCCCTCTGGTATCAGGTTTGGAATTTGGGGTTGGGGACAGTCCCTGCCTTGCATTCCCTGAAAACAAGATGGCGCAGCAGGGTGTGACGAAGGGGCTCTGGCCACCAGGGGACCCAGTCCCGCTGGATGGTAAAATGTCCGGGTCTTTGAGGTGGGAACGAAACAGGAATCCTTTAAAGTATGTTGTGGGGTACAGGAATTTGTTCGTCACCACAGGCCACCTCATGATGACACCTCTGTTCCTTTTCCCAGCCTGTGGGCCGAAGCTCACCAACTCCCCGACGGTGATCGTCATGGTGGGCCTCCCTGCCCGGGGTAAGACCTACATCTCCAAGAAGCTGACTCGCTACCTCAACTGGATTGGCGTCCCCACAAAAGGTGAGGCCGGGTTCCAGGGCTGGGGTGGTCACGCTGAGTGACTCGCCAACCCCCTGCATCCAAAAAAAAAATGGCCCTTTCATCTCCAGCCACTGGAGCTCCCTTATGGGGCTACTCTTGGGCTAGTCTGTCCCCTGTAGCAGGGGGCACGGGGGCGGGGGACCCTTTCTGGCTGTGTCACCCACCATGCTGTATACACACCCTGACTTTGTGTTGGGGTCTTTCTCGCTGGCCTCGCTCTTTCTCCCACTGCCCCAAATCCTGCCCAGCTCTGCCTCACCTCCTTAGGAAGCCTCGTCTGGCCCCCAGAGTCAATGCGGATCTTTTTCCTTTAAATTCCCATGGCACTCCATTGTGACATTCCTCTACTGACTGTCATAATGTGCTCTATACCGTTGATTATATTTTCATGAATCTTTGCCCGGTCTTCCCAACTGCGTGGGCAATGTCTTGAGGATGGGGACTAATGTTTAGGTTTACTGTGCCCCACCGTGTGGTACCCAGTAAGTATTCAGTGTGTCCCCTGGGCGCAGGCTGCTGCATCAGCAGAAGAATGGCTGGTTTGGACCTGTGTGTGTGTGAGACCCCACTCTCTCTCGGACACCATTGGCAGAAAGCATTGCCCTATTTTTGCTAGACATGTGCCTGCCACCTGTTCTCACAGTCTCAGCCTCAAGCCCGAGGCTGGACTGGAGACTGGGCCGTGGGAGACAACCTCCAGAAAGGCAGGCCGCTGTGAGCGGTGTTTGGTCTGGGGAAGCCGGGCTGCCTTCTTGGTGGATGTTTAGCCTGGGCGTGGGCTGCACACTCTGGTTTCCGTGACTGATCAGAATCTCATTCAAATCGGCGTTGGTGTGTTGGCTTGGGTTCCTTTTTTGGGGCGAGTGTTCCTAGCTGTGAGTGGCCCCTCCTTCCTGGGGTCATTTGAGGGTCTGTCCTCTCCCTCCGCCCGCAGTGTTCAATGTCGGGGAGTACCGCCGGGAGGCCGTGAAGCAGTATAGCTCCTACAACTTCTTTCGCCCTGACAACGAGGAGGCCATGAGAGTGCGGAAGTAAGGCTCGAGCTGCCGCGGGAGACTGTGGGTTTGGGTTTGCTTTGCTCTTTAAAGCCAGGTTTTCCGACAGAAAGAGGAAGCTAGCCTGCGGTGTGGCCGTCAGCTCCGGCCCCCACTCCGTGTGTATTAGGACAAGTCTCTTTGCGGCTTGCTGCTCTCATCTGCTCCCAGATGGTCTAATTCAGCCGATGTGATACAGATCAACCACAACGGCTCATTAAGAATGAACAAAAGGGTTTTCATGGAAAATCATCTGTTTGTATTTGAAAAGGATTTTTTTAAGCCCAGGGGGATCATGAAACCCAAGTGCGATAGGTTCAACCCTGGCTGCACTTTAAAATCTCCTGGGAGCTTGGACAGATCCCCATGCCAGCCCGAGCCTAGATCAGTGCAGGGAGAATCTCAGGGCAGGACCTGGGTGTCGCCTTTTAAAAGCTCCCAGGGGATCTCAGTGTGCAGCCAGCCGTGAGCATCACTTTCCGAGGGTGACTGCCACCTTCTGTGTGGGGCTCTGGTTGGGTGCCTCTGGGCCTGACCGCCCTGGCCAGCAGAGTGGTTCAGCAATGGATAGCGGTCACTCTGCTTGTCAGGTTGAGCGGGGTTGCTGGGGCTGCCCCGGGCGAACGCGCCAGCTCTGATGCACCTTCCCTTCCTGTGTGTTGTAGGCAGTGCGCTCTGGCTGCCTTGAGAGACGTCAAAAGCTACCTGACGAAGGAAGGCGGCCAAATTGCAGTAAGTCTGGGAACATGCCAGCTCTGTCTCCCATCCCGTAGTGGGATGGTGCTCTGGAGAGAGAGGAATGTAGACACTGGCCCGAGCAGTGCCGAGAGCCATGTGGGGACACCTTAAATAGGGATAAGGACCTCTGGCCTGAGAGTTGAGGGAAGCAGATGGTCAGAGCAGCACAGGAGCCCAGAAAGGTGGTTGGGGGGGGGTGGACTTGGGGCACAGCCAGCTGCTGTGCTCTGCTCACCCATCCTCTGTGTGCCATCGGGCACCACCCTCCAAGGCAGACTGGACCCGGGACGGCTGCGGCCGTGGTAGCCAGGGTCCCTTCCAGTACACCCTCCCCTGCACATTTCTGTTGTCTGTTTGCTTTAAGGAGTGTTCCCACCCTCCCTTACCCTCCCTGAGTGCTGGAGGCGGTGGGAGAGGGGAGGGAGATTTTTGGCTTATACCTAGAAGTGATAGGCCTGACCTACTCGGTGGTTTAGTAAATACTGTTAAACTCAAACTTGGGTTCTCTTCACTGCCCGCCTTTGGCCCTATCAGGTTTTCGATGCCACCAATACTACTAGAGAGAGGAGACACATGATCCTTCATTTTGCCAAAGAAAATGATTTCAAGGTGAGCGAAATTTCTTGTCTTGCCCCAGAAGGCTCAGGAGCAAGGAAAACCTATCAGGGATCGGCTGATTCCTGTGTCTGGAGCACCTCTGCTCCATGCTTGGTCCTTCACCTCCCACTGCCCTTGTTTTGCTGTCTACAGATTGGGCCTTCCTGGTGGGGCCTCTTAGGGGTTACCGTGACTGGGGATGAGGAGCACCCCTCTGTTGGGGAGGGCAAAGGACTCAGGATTGAGTGGGTGGTTCTTTTTTTTATGTATTTGGAGATTTATGAATGGGGTCCTTTCTCCTCGAATGTGGTGAGAACATCACGGTGATACCAAAGTTGGCCCTTTGTGTTGCCACATTTGTTATTTCCTAACGTTTCTGTCTTGCCTCCTCCCAGGTGTTTTTCATCGAGTCTGTGTGTGATGACCCTACGGTTGTAGCCTCCAACATCATGGTAAGACAACGTAGGACCCCTCCACTCTACTGTGGTAATCTGAGAAAAGTGGGAAACCAGGTCAGGCCTGGAGAAGTAACTAGAGCCTGAGAACGAGCTGGCTTGTCCAGCTTGTTGTTGATTTTGTCTGAGAGGTGGGATCTGGGGAGGTCAGAAGTACAGAAGTGGTAATTAACCTAGAAGCATGTTCTGTGACCTGGACTGGCTTTATGGGGTCCTTTCAGTCAGTCAGCAGAAAGCAGTCTTTGTGGGACTTAAGCGATAATGTGGGGGACCAGGAACAGTTTCTGTGGGTGGCGGTAGCTTGGCAGTGGGGTGGTGATGGGGCAACTTGGGGCAAAGGGCAACTCACCCCTCCATTTGGGGAAGGAGGCAGCTGGTTGGTCCCTTTTGCCGTTAAGGTCCGTGGTAGGTAAGAATGGTTGTATATTGACAAAAGCCCATAGGACTCAGCAGACTCAATGCAGAATCCCCAAGTTTGGGAAGAATGGGGGGTGGTAAAACTATCTTCCTGCTGATGTTTGTACAACATACCCTCTTGCTCTCCCCATGCCAAGGAGAGGTTGCCCCAATAAATTGAGGATAATTGGCAGCTTAATTTGGTTAATTTTATATTTTATTACTTGGTAGCAATAGATCATAAACAGAAACGGTTACTATGAAGGCCTTACCACAAGTCAGCTTCTCGTGTTGTAGATCGTTTTCTATCCAGCTGAAATGCATCAGAATAAGACATATCTGTAAGGAAAGCAGGTGTTCCTTCCATAGGGAACGCCGTGGTGTTGCTTCATACAAGTGGGCATCTTTACAGGGATGCTGAGCATTTAGCTTCTGCTCTTGGGCCTTCTCTCCAAGCCAGTGGGAATATTTACCTCATTTCTAAGACATGAGTTCATGTTTCAGGAAGGGCTATTCAAATTGTGGAAAATCAATCCGGATTCGTTTCAGCAGTCCAAAGGAAGAGGCTCAAAGTATGAGAAAACAGAAGTTGCCATAATCTAAACAAAGGGTTTTGCTGTATTTCTTTGATTTGGTTTTACTAGTCCTACTTGGTAGTGCAGCCAGCTGCAGCTGCAGAGTCATTTCCCCGGGGAGCAGTCGCCACGTGCTTGGCTGGAGCTCACCGTTTATCTTGTACCCCATTAACAGGTTTAGTCATTCACCCTGACTCTCCGTGTTCAGAAGTCTCTTTCTCTGGGTAAAGCCTCAAAGCAACTTCGCAGCTTCGGCCTTTCCACTGCTCCTTATGTGGGTGGCTGTGCTAGGGATTTGCAAACCTAGATGTTTTTTTTATTGTGGTGAAGTACACATAACATAGAATTTACCATCCTAACTGTTTTTAAGTGTTAATTCCCTGGCATTTGGCACGTTCACGTTGTTGTGCAACCACCACCACCATCCATCTCCGGAACTTTCTCATCTTCCTAGACTGAAACTCTGCACCCACGAAACACTAACTCCCCAGGGAGCCTGGATTTTTGAGGAGTGGCTGCCTCTCTTTCACGGCTGTGGGAGTTGTTGAGAAGGAAAAGAGCGTGTGCATTAAAAAAATCTGAGTTCCCCCGAAATCTGCCAGGTTTCTCAGACCTAGTGTTCAGTTACAGGAGATGGCAGGCCTGAGGGTCGTTTTTCCTCCATCTCCTTCCCACGACAGCAAACTTTGCAAAGGGTTGGGTATGTGGTCCAGGTAGAGAAGCATTCATCGGGGACCAGTGACAAGTCTGTGGGAGGTGCAGAGAGTCCTGCCTGGCACTCAGGGCCGGGGCATCTCTAGCAACTTGGGAGTGCAGCTTTGCTAGTTGACAACCTACTCTTTGTGTGGGAAACATCGCAGATGCTAATGCAGAACTCGGGGGTTGAGGGCCGGGCTGTCTGGGGTGACTCGGTTGCTGGATTGATCCTGAATCGTGGCCCGTTCCGAGGTGTTCATTACAATCCTCGTGGGTTTCCTGTCTCCATCCTTCCAGGCATCGATTCTCTGTCTGCCGTGGGTGCCTTTCCCATGTAATCATCGGGTTATGACTCACCCCCAGCGTGTTTCTTTTTTTCTCTTAAACACTGGGTAGGATCATCATTATTCTGAGCCTGTCTGTGCTTTCCCCGTTTGCAAGCCCGAAATCCTACTTCATCTAAGCAGAAATCCTTCCAGCGTGATTCATCAGCTGCCTCTTTGTGGTGTTACAGGAAGTGAAAATCTCCAGCCCGGATTACCGAGACTGCAACTCAGCAGAAGCGATGGACGACTTCATGAAGAGAATCAGCTGCTACGAAGCCAGCTACCAGCCCCTCGACCCCGACAAATGTGACAGGTAGTTGCTAAGAGCTGACCGTCTCCGAATCACCCGCTTTAGGGCTTTCAGTGTTTTCTCATTCCTACAGAGCATTTGCTCCTCCATACTTTCATAAACTCTTTTAAAATATCTTTTAAAAAATTCCTGATTCCATATTCAGTGTGAATATTTTAGACACTGTGTAGAAGTCTGGAAAGTGAGTATTTGAACCCAGGCTTGCTACTATCCCCTGGAGATCTCTTTCATTTTTGTTCCCATCCTCTTGCTTTTCTCTCTTCCTCTTCTGGGAGGCCAGCCAGCCTCCCGACCACACGCTCTGCTGTGGGTGCTGCCCGCTCACGCCCTCTGACTCTCAGAGAAAGTAGATTCATGCCCTCAGGGAGCTGACAGCCAGCCACTGGAGCCTTGTTAGGGCTGAGTCTCTGCGGTTGGCCTGGGGCCGGGGATTTGCACCTGGGCCAGCTGTGCTGTGCTGTTGGGGTGTTCTGACCCGCCGGTCACCTTCCTGTGCAGGGACCTGTCCCTGATCAAGGTGATCGATGTGGGCCGGCGGTTCCTGGTGAACAGAGTGCAGGATCACATCCAGAGCCGAATCGTGTACTATCTGATGAACATCCACGTGCAGCCTCGCACCATCTACCTGTGTCGCCATGGCGAGAGCGAGCACAACCTCCAGGGGAAGATTGGAGGAGACTCAGGCCTGTCCAGCAGGGGCAGGAAGGTAGGAGGGGAGCAGGGGGCAAGGGGAAGCTGGGGCATGGGGTGCGCGTGTGTGGACGTGTGTGTGTGTGTGTGTGTGTGTGTGTGTGTGTGGGAAGGGTGGGGTCTCCCGGGGCCTTGGGGGGTGTGTGCGCGCAGGAGCTGCTCCTCAGGTCCCCCAGGCTCCTTCTCACGTTCTAACGACAGCAGAGTGAGCTCCCCTGCTGAGGTTCGGGTGGTTGGGTGCTGCTTCCCCGGGAGGGGCGGAGCCTGGAGTCCAGTGTGTGTCCCTCTCATCCCTCTCAGTTTGCCAATGCCCTGAGCAAGTTTGTGGAGGAGCAGAACCTGAAGGACCTCAAGGTGTGGACCAGCCAGCTGAAAAGCACCATCCAGACGGCGGAAGCCCTTCGGCTCCCCTACGAGCAGTGGAAGGCGCTCAATGAAATTGACGCTGTGAGTCCCGGGTCTGGCCGGGCCGTGGGAGCACGAAAGAGAGGGCACATGGAGGCCTCTTTCTGCCAGATCTGCCAGAGATCCTGAGAGCTCTTTCAGACCTGCACGTGCTGCGTTGACCAACTCGAGGTGGCCATTTGGGGCATGTTCCCTAAATGACCTCTGGGTGTTTCCTGCAGGGTGTCTGTGAGGAGATGACCTACGAGGAGATCAAGGACACCTACCCTGAGGAGTACGCTCTGCGCGAGCAGGACAAGTACTACTACCGCTACCCCACCGGGGAGGTACGTGCCTGCCCTCCCTTCCGTCTCTGGTCATCCGTCCACTCAGTGGACAGTGGTCAGGTGTAGGTGGTGTGTGCTGGGCGTGGAGGAACTCATGATGGCCCTTCTGAGGTCAAGGGTGTGGGGCTAGGCCAAGAGAGGGCTGCTGGGACCCAGACGGACCCGTTACTGGTAACTAGCCACGCACAGCGAGCTGTGGACACCGGGCAAGAAGGGCTCATACATCCAGCCTCCTAATCGGTTCCCACGCTTGTTCTCAGCACTCTTACTTTAGAGTCGAGTCTTCCTTTTTTTTTGTTTTTATTATTTTTTTTTTGTGAGGAAGATCAGCCCTGAGCTAATATGCGTTGCCAATCCTCCTCTTTTTGCCGAGGAAGATTGGCCCTGGGCTAACATCCGTGCCCATCTTCCTCTACTTTAGATGGGACGCCACCACAGCATGGCTTGACAAGCGGTGCATGGGTGTGCGCCCGGGATCCGAACCTGCAAACCCCGGGCTGCCGCAGCGGAGCCTGTGCACTTAACCGCTGCTCCACGGGGTCGGCCCATAGTTGAGTCTTCCTAAGTTGAGCCTGTCAGCAGCTCCAGGGGAAGCACAGCTGTATTTTCCTGTGTGCAGCAGTGAGCCAGGTGTTTGTCTAACGACACGCATAATGATGCAGGAGAGAATGATGATCGTGGCTGATGATTCACGGGACATGAGGGTTTCCCCTTGACCGCAGGCGAGGTGGCAGACACGTCATCTCATGTCCCTTGTGCTGCCTGAGGTGACACTGGTGGAGGGCATTCCCCACCATGTGTATGGCCCACTTTGGCTGAGTGAGCAGCTGCTTGGAGCCCTGGAAGGAGAGTCCAGAATGCTTGGGGGTCTGCTGCAGCCTTCGTGGGGTCACCTAGCGGGGTCCTTGCTGTCTTGGCTTGTCTCAGCATTTGTCATATCTCAGCGCCCTTGTGCTCAGGGCACTGTCCTCTTATCCCACCATGGCTCTCATTCCCTGGGACCTGGGTAATAAGGAGAGGGGCCGGTGTGCATGGGAGCCTACCCCTTCTCTTTCAATTTATTTTTGTTGAGATAAAATTCACATAATATAAGATTCATTATTTTAACCATTTTAAAGTATAAAATTCAGTGGTTTTTAGGATATTCACAATACTGTGCAACCATCACTAGTAATTCTAGAACATTCCATTACTCCAAAAAGAGACCCCAGCCTGTTAGCAGTCAGTCCCAATTCCCCCTACCCCTAGCCCGTGGCAACCACGAATCTACTTTCCGTCTCTGTGGATTTGCCTTTTCTGGATATTTCACATAAATGGAATCAGACACTGTGGTCTTTTGTGTCTGGCTTCTTTCACTTAGTGTGATGTTTTCAGGGTTCATCCATGTTGTAGCGTGTGTCAGGACTTTGTTCCCTCACTCCCCGCGCAGAGGGGAGGAAAGGAAGGAGCGGAGAGAGAGGGTGGCAGGTTCATGTTTCACTTGGGATTACTTCTCCAAATCCATATCGACACAGATGATTTCCTTTTCTAGGAAGCCAGTCCAGGCAGGTCGCCCAACGCCCACAGGGGATGCAGCACAAAAACACCACTGCTCTTGACGGATCGCATGCTCTCTGGTTTATCATGACAGAGAGGTGTGGCCGTGGTGGCCAAGTTCCCACCCTTCCTCTCGTGCGCTTCTCCTCCAACACGGCGTCTCTGTCCCTCTGTCTTGCAGTCCTACCAGGACCTGGTCCAGCGCCTGGAGCCCGTGATCATGGAGCTGGAGCGGCAGGAAAACGTGCTAGTCATCTGCCACCAGGCCGTCCTGCGATGCCTCCTGGCCTACTTCCTGGATAAGAGTGCAGGTGCGCTGTCCTCGGAGCATCCCCGGTGAGGGTGGGGCAGAAATTAACTTCTGGGGCAGCTGTGGGCACGCCCTTCCTTTCCCAGCCCACGCGGTTGTCTGTCGTGCTGCCCGGTGTCAGGAAGGGCCTCCCAGCTGCCGAGGGGCCTTCTCGGCCCAGCACCTCCCTGCGGCCCCTGGAAAATTCTTCAGAGCACAGTTTGATGTGCAGTGTACTTAACAGCTTCATAGAACAGCCTCTAAGGGGCTTTGGCTCAGGAGGCGAGGGACAGCTCTTCCCTTCAGCCCACCTCTAAGGAACAAACAGCCCAGAACACTCTCATGATCCTCTTAAAATTTAAGTCTGTGTTTGCCCAAGGTTCAGCTGAATCTCGACATACCTAAATTGTTTGGGGAATGAGCGACTTTTTCTTTTCTCGAGGACGTGGTCCACAGCTACCCCAAACTTTTTTCCTCTAACTCATTGTGTGAGGGTGGGTTTGGGGGTTTGTTTTGATTTTGTTCTTTTGACTAGATGTCTTTTCTAGGGCTGCCTGCCTTGGGCCTGTGTGAGGGGTCAGGGGGTGGCTTCTGAGGGCGCCGAAGAGGCAGGAGCTGTCACTGGAGGCCTGCAGATGTCTGTCAAGTCTCAGATCTAACTGTGGGGCCCCTTCTCTTCTTTTCAGAGGAGATGCCTTACCTGAAATGCCCACTCCACACCGTCCTGAAGCTGACGCCCATTGCTTATGGTGAGTGTGGTGATGCGGACCCTGCCGAGACCTGCTCTCTCGGGGTGGCGGCTCCTGGTGGCTATGGGGCTGTGAGCCGCCGTCCCCTTTAACAGGAAGCCAACCTCCCTCCCCGCCCTCGCCTAGGTTGCCGTGTAGAATCCATCTACCTGAATGTGGAGTCGGTGAATACACACCGGGAGAGGTCAGAGGTGAGTGTGAGCTCCGTGCCTCTGGCCCTTCTGCACCTGCATCCCATCCCCCATCACCAGAAGGACTGTCCAGTGACGGGACCAGCTGTGGCAAGTCCCCACCTGCATTGCCTGTAAATGCTGACCTGTGTCTTTCAGTGGGTTCTTGCTGGAGGAGTTGGTTGGAACTTGGCGGCCTGGGTGACTCTCCCCTCCCTTTTCTCAGCATCCCTATCTCTCCTGTGGCTTCTGGGCATCCTCTTCTTTTTCTTCCTTTCCATGCTTTCTTGCCCCGTGTCTATTTGACCCGAGCAGTGAGTGTTAGAGGAGGATGCATTCTGATCCTTCAGACATAACCACAGCACAGGTCTTGCTGCCCTTTCCTTTGGGGCTGCCCAAACTACTTGCAAGTTCCAGAGTTAACTGGTTAAAACAGGATCAGCACATCCGCTGAGTCACCTGTATGCACTTAGGTACAGAATTACCCAGAAGACGATGACAATGAAAAAGGCAGTGGGACTGGAGAAGAAGACATGATTTGGGGATTAGAGACACGAGGGATGGCAGATGGAAAGCGTTTCCAGGAGACCCCGACTTCCACCTTGGGAGGTCTGAAATTTGGCGGTTGGTCTGGTTGATCTCCCAAGGGCAGAGCAGATTCCTGCCCAGGCGTACGTTGTGAAAGCAAGTTGGAATTTACTTTAAACTGGCTGTCGAAATGCAATGCTTTGCCAGCATCCGTCCGACCCTTTCTTGTACACCCAGTGTGACATTCCGTCCGTGCAGGTAGCTTCCCTGTTCCCAAGGGCTTGGCCAGGAGATTTTGGCGTTAAAATCCCAGCTTCCACTGGCAGTAGCCCAGCTGGTCGACAGAAAGGAGGGAGGACGGCTTCCCTGGGCTCCGTACTGGGCCCCCTTCTGAACTCGGGAGTGGGATGCTGCATTTCCTTTCGCTCTCCGAGGAGCAGCCCGAGGCTGCTGCTGCCTCTCAGCGTGGCTCCTGGGCCTTGAGCTGCAGAGCGACGGGCCGTGGGACTTCAGAGGTCCCCGCTCCAACCTCCTTGTCACTCAATCAGAGGGCTAGTGTTTGGCCCTGGCTGGCCGTGAATGCCTCCCTCAGGTTTTCTGCGTCTTGAGTCTCCTGGCTGGGGTTGAGGCCTGCGTTTCCTGTCCTAAGCCGGGTATAGTTATGGGGTCTGCTCTGCAGATCTGGCTTATGATCAGTGGGAGGGAGTCCAGCACCGACACCTTCTCATCCCTGCCCCTCCTGCTGTCCCCTCCGTGGCTCCCTGAGCCTCACACCCAGGCCTCTCTCCTCTCCTCCCCTCCTTCGGCTCTCTTGGAGGCTGGCAGCAAGGTTCTTTTCTCTCTGCTATAATTGGATAACTGTGCAGAACTGGTCCCACTGTCCTTTCCTCACCTGCTTTGCAAACATTGCGTTTGTCCAGGCGAGTGTCTTGGAAAGATCTGGGGAAGGGGCTCCGGAGGGGATCGTCCCTTGTTCTTACCGACCGGGAGACACAGGACAGAACGGCCACCCCGAGGTCCCAGGGCCGCTCCTCGTGGTTGGTCTTGACGTATCCGTAACACCCAGAAGCAGAGAAATGTGTTTGGTTTGGTTTGGGGTTTTTTGGCTTATCTACCTGCCCCCTCCTTGTAACTGTCGCCTTCTCTCTTTTGTCTTTGTCTCGCTTAGGATGCAAAGAAGGGACCTAACCCGCTCATGAGACGCAATAGTGTCACCCCACTAGCCAGCCCCGAGCCCAGCAAAAAGCCTCGCATCAACAGCTTTGAGGAGCATGTGGCCTCCACCTCCGCCGCCCTGCCCAACTGCCTGCCCCCGGAGGTGCCCACGCAGCTGCCCGGACAAGTGCGTTCACCCCCTTCCCTCCCTCGCCGTCCCGTCGCGGGTCTGGGTGGGTGTGGCCGTGGCCTTGGCCCCGGGCCTGCGCCTCTGGGTGGTGGAGGGAGGGAACACGGGGACACTCTGAAGTTTGTGACACCTGGGGGTCCTTCCTTGCTGGCGGTGGCAGGGAGTGTGCACGCCTCCTTTCTGAGAAGGTGATCTTTGTGGCCAGAACCAGGCAGAGCGGAAGAAGTAGTGAAGTGCCCTGTTCACGTTCATGAATAGTTTTTTCTAGAACAAAGTTGACGGCGGAGCCCCGGTTCAGAGTCTCCATTCAGCTCTGGGCTTTCAGCTTCCGTGGGCTCTGAGGGTGTCTTTTCTGTCCGAGGCCCGTAGCTATTTTTCCTTACCGTCCTCCTTCGCCATCGCTCCCTGTTACAGGCGGGGCCCGTGGAGCGGGTCCTCGCCTGCGGCCGGCCTGGCCCGGTTAGAACTCGGGGAGCCTGACTCTCCGGGCTGGATGGCCTGGAAGTAGCCACTGTCTCCCATAACTAGTTACTTCAGCACGTAGTAAAAAAACCGAAAAGCAAAGAACAACTAGACTTCACTGATTGCATTCACTATGAAGGTTAGAAGGCTGGGAGACTGGCGATTGGGCATTAAGATTTGTTTTCAGAAAATCAGTCTTCTCCCTCAAAGACAGCCAAGAACCTTTGCCACAATGTGAAACATCGAAATCCCTGGGCACAAATTTAGGTGCCACCCAGGGGTCTCCCTGCCCTCCACCCACCACACCTGGTCTCTTGCAGTAAATCCCAGGCAGAATTTTGGCTTGCGTTTGTTTGGGAGGTCGGAGCCGAGGCCCGAAAACTCTTCCTGTATTTCCCCTGAAGCTGATTTAAACCTGGTGGTGTCTGGAAATGTGATGTAGGGGAGAGAGCTGCATGGCCTCGGGTAGGTCATCGAAACCTGTTCAGGCCTCAGTTTTCCCATCTGTGGAATGGGGGATAGCATCTACTGCAGGAGGCGGACCAAAGGAGATAATTCGGCATCTCATATGGGGTCTGGCGCTCACTAAGGGCTCCGTAGGGTTAGACGATGCTGAACCAGAGCCTGGAGACCTGGCTTCCGGTCGTGGCTCTGCCACCAGCTGTAGGATTTTATTGTCAGGTTACATCACCTCCCTGGCCTTCAGTCTCCTTATCTTTTAAAATGAGAGTAGGATTGGGAGACGTCTAATTAACACTCCTTTCAGGTCTAAAATCAGAGGTGTTTTTTAATGAAAACTGAGAACTGAAGTGGTGTCTCTATGACATTCTGTTTTGGAGTAAACTGTGGGGTCCTAGTTGGAAGTTCAGAGGCCACTGTCACAGGCACGTGGGGGGACTGGCCTGGACCGGGGGTGGGTGGTGTGTGGGGCTGCATTACCCGGGTCACAGAGGACGCGTGGCTGGGGGTCCCCAGGGTTGCTGAGCTGAATCCTCGGGGGATCTGGAAGCCACTGGCTGGGCCAGGAGTGGGAGAATTGACAGAGCTTCATCCCAGCAGAGGATGTCCCGGATTCAATGGCTTGGGCCCCTCTCCCTGTCCCCCTACTAACTTCTCTCTCTCGACCTTTTCTCTCTGCAGCCTTTGCTAGGGAAAGCCTGTTTGTAAGTATTTTTCTCTGAATGATTTTGCTGCTTGCACCTCTTTTTCTTGCTTGCCAGTTTGGCCTCCTGCGTGTTAACGTGTTGAGGACCATGACGGTTTTTGTGAAGTCTGAAGGAGGAAGGTGGGCGTGGGAGGAGAGAGCAGGGCATTTGTGAATTTTTAGCAAAGGATGCAAGAGGTGATTACGGCCCAGCTGTTTTCAGTGCGTCCTGACGCTGCCACTGCTGCAGCTGGCTTCTCCTCGCTCCCTCTCAGGGGCCTAGGTGACTCCGGTACTTGCAATGGTCTGTGGCTTGACGTAAATCCAATTTTTCCCTCTTCGAGTTTGATTTTGGTGGCAGGCTAGGTCTGTGCCTGCTGCCATTCTCGTAAGTCGTCTGCCTCCCGTAGGAGAGCCCTTTCATTTGAAAGGAAAATTTATCCAGAGCCTAATCTGCAGAATACATTGAGCAGGACTGGTGGGGAGTGGAGCCCTGCAGCCTCTCCCTCCCTGTCCTGGCAGGGACTGCCCCCGACTCTGCCCCCCACAGGGGCTCCAAGGACTCCCATGCTCTGGAGAGGTCTCTTTGGAAACTGTTCTTCCAGATCGGGTTGTCCTGAACGGGAACCTGTTCAGCCTTAACAGTTCAGAGCTGGGTGCAGCTTTCGAATCAGACCCACCGGGTTGTCCCCTTCCTTCAGCCAGATCTCTCTGTGGAAAGTTTCTGGTTAAGCATCAGGTAGAGCGGTTGCTGGATAATCCAGCCTTGCCACTGCTCTGATGGTCCCCACCCGCAGAAGGAACCGAGGCCTTTATATGGCAGAATTTTAGTAACCACTACCATGAAATATCACCCTCCCCAACCCCGCAAGTCCCATCTCCCCGTGTTCCCTTTGCTGATTAGATCACCTTTTCTAATTCATGCAGAAACTGAACTGGCTTACAGAGTGCAGCCTGATAAGCTTAAAACATGGCGTGTTCTTGGAAAATGAGAGTTGTTTGGCATTGTGCTTCGATTAGGTGGCACCATCTGTAGTGAATGTGTCCTGTCATGCTGTATAGCTCACGGAGAATGTGTTTGCACACATTCCATGTCTCTGGTCCTTAATGTAACCCCAGGAGGTCAGCAGGGCAGTTACCATCCCTGTCTATCAGATGGGGGCAGCGGGTAAGCCACTTGCCAATGGTCGTCCAGCTAGTCAGCAGCAGAATCAGGGCATGAATGGGTCTCCCAGTTCTGAAGGCTGGCTGCTTTCTCTCTGCCGGTTTCTGGAACAGCCAAGATACTGTTCATCTACTGCTGTCCCCGGCACCTGCCGCCTGCCGCCTGCGGGCCACTGCCTGGAGCTGTTAGATTTCCTCTTTAGCTCTTACAGCCCCTCCCTCGAAGCCTGCTTCCCGTGGCTCGGTTGTGTTTATTTAATGGTGGGCCTGTCCATTAAATTCAGTCTTGAAGAGGAACAGTCCCGTGTCTGTTAGCCCCTGAAGCCAGGCGTTGTACTCGGAATGTGTCAGGATCAAGGTTCTCCTTGTGTGAAAACTCCCCTTTGGATTTGGAGCCTTATGGTTTTGCATCTGTGCATGTCCTGTTGGTTTTGACCCATGGCCTGATGCTGCCAAAAAAGAAGCCGTCCTAGTGGGAAGGGGCGATTTGGGCACATCCGCCCACCTTCCGAGGCTGAACTTGCCCGTCTCCAAGGCTAATAGCACCTTTGGCTAGAATCCCTCCAGCTCAGCAAAAATGTTTTCTCTGGACCCATCACACCTGCATTCCACTCTGGGGTCCCAGCATCCAACCCAGTCTGGGAGTACAAGCCCATGTCTGGGATAGTAGAGACCAAAGTTTATTATTAAAGTCAAAGTGAGCTGGGTTTGGGTCTTGGTTCTGCTACCCTCTCTCTTTGCAGCTCTAGGCAAGCTAGTGCAATTCTTAGACTTCAGCCTCCTCATCTGTGCAACGGGGAGAGGAACGTCCTGAGGTGTTTTGATAATGAGAATATAGATGTGGCACTTAGCAAGTATCTGGCACACAGTCAGTGCCCAGTGGATGGCCGCCTTGTCATGGAGAGATGGTGCCCTGTGCTTTGGTGATGCATCCCGGGCTCTCTGGTTTGGGCCACACCACTGTGCATTTGGGTGCCCTCCTGCTCCTCCTGCTCCAAGCCAGTGGGATTTCTTCTCACGGGCAGCAAGAGCACCAAGAGACTGGGGAGTGGGGGAGCCATGGATGAGATCCTGGTTTCCTGGTAAAACGGGCTCGCCAGCCCGGATGGGTGCAGCGCCCTGCTGTCCTACCCCCTGGGCTGCACTGGCTCCTCAGGGCCGACAGACCCTCTGGCATTCACAATGCATCCTTGATTTTTAACTTTCAAATGCACACTGAAAAGAAAACACTACTAAAGATGTTTGTTTTGTTTTTCTTTTCCAACATGTTTCTTCCTTTCCCCCCATGCTTGAAAGACGAACTGTCTGTCACATTTTCTCAAAGTTTTCTCCTTACTAACCTTGGAAAGGTAAATGGCTTGGTGCATGCCCCCTTGTCCCCTCCACATCTCTGAGTCATGGCATCCCAGCCTGTCAGGGCATCTTGGTCTGTGTGATGACTGGCCATTGTGAAGTTTGTGACTCATACACCCCGTGCCGGAGTGCCAGGGAACTTGTGTTTCCTAAGAGCAGCGCCATCGTCTCGAGGTCCTCTCTCTCTCGTTTCCTCCTTTCCCTCCACGTGTCCTGAGCCAGGGGCACCATGAGTGAATGATGTGGACATAGCCCGTGCCTGCGGTCCAAGTGTCGTTGTTGCATTGCCGTCATTCGTGGGTGCTCGAAGCCTTGGGCTGGAGATGTCCGGGGGTGGGTTGGAGCCAGCAGCTGCAGAAGGATGTGGCAGCACAGTGCCCTCGCAGCCCACAGGTGGCTGCAAGGCTACAGGGCTCTCCCTAGGCGAGCCCCTCTGCCTCCCCCCAACTCACAGAGGCTGTCCGATGGACTCATGGTTGGAGGCTCGAGTTGCCTGGGCTCCTGAGTCCGGCTGAGAGCAGCCTCAGATCTGGGCGCTGGCTTCAGGGCTCCCAGCCCTGCGATTTTCTCTTCTAGAGATTTCTCCACCGTGGGAGGGGAGTGGGCCTCGGGGGTCCTTGCATAGTTGTCTGTTGGTCTCCACTCCCCGCTCCTCCCTTTAAGACAGCCTTGGTGGAGACACTCAGGATGGGAGAGAATACTTTTAAAAATTGTGTTTCCTTTTTTGCGGGGTGGATTAAGGAGGTTAGGTAGAGAGACCTCTGCTGTGGGGTGGCAACCGTCATCTGTCCCCCCGGCTGATCGGAAAACATTTTTTTAAGGGGGTTTTGACACTGGCCAGCTCCTAGGGGTGGGGCTTCCAGCTAGGATCGCTTTTATTCCAGGGAAGAGAGCATTAGGGACACAGGCCTTCTCTGCCTGGGTCCTTCCCCACCACATCCAGTGTCACCTGTGTCCTAGCTGCCGAGCTGGTGTTCCTAGAATCTGGATCCCAGCAGCTAGGGTGTGCGGCTCTGCTTGAGCCAAGTTGGGAGGAGAGTCCTTATGCTTCTTTGGAGGAACCCTGGTGCATCCTCTGTCTGGCTGTGGCCAGCGAGAGTTCCCTGAGTGGGGCCAGGGAGCAGCCACCAGGCTCTAAAGGGCCATGAGCAGGAGGGTCCCTTAGTCACAGAACACCTCTGACCCATGGGAGCTGCCGGGTCTCCCCTCTCCCCTCTCCCCTCCACACCTCCTCCAGGCACATGACAGGCCTCTCTGCTCCGAGGGCCCCTCCCGGCCTTGCGCCCAGCCCCTTCTCCTGTGTGACCCTGGGCTTCACCTCCACCACGTTCCCGGGGCCTCCCTGGCTTTCTTCTACCCATTTGGTGATGATGCTCTTCTGGGGTCGGGTTCTTTGTTGGGGGAGAAGTCTCAATTGCGTGACTGTGAGTCTTGCTTTAGAAACTGAGTCAACAGTAAACAGTAATTCCCCTTCACCTCCCTCTTCTCTCCTGAACAGAACATGAAGGGCTCCCAGAGCAGCGTCGACTCATCCAGGACACACTGAGGCAGACCCATCGGTCCCATTCCATCTCCATTTCTGCACCTAGCTAGCACCCTTCCTTCTCCCCGAGGCCAGATGATCCCAAGGACTGCTCCCAGAACGGGGTGGGGTGGTGTAGAAGAGGTTCTGCTGGTCGAAGAGAACCCGTACCCCCAACAGCATCAGGGTGGCCTTGCCTGTGTGCAGAACCCGTCGCTTCTGCCTCAAGTGGCACGCCACCCTGCCCTCTGCCCTCTGCCCTGCCTGGCCTTGCAGGGCTGTGTGGCCTCCCTGACCCTCCACGAGGCTTGGTGAGGACGATGGGCAGCGGAGGAGGTGAGAAGGCCCTGAGGGGAGACGTTGGGTGCCTCCGTGCTGTTTTGTTTCCTTTCTGTGATCTGGGCCTGGTAGGTCCCCAGCTGGGGAGATGACACTCTTCTGAACGCTAGATTAAAGGGGGCCCCGATCCCAGCTGCTGAAGGTTAAGGGATGTTGAAAACTTTCACGAGGCTCCGTTGTGCATCTTGGCCACCGGGAGAGCCAGTCCCAGCGGTGGAGAGAGAAGTCTCCGAGCTAGACTTGGTCAGCTGAGCAGCGGCCCTCCAGCGTGTCCACACACCTCCCCAGGTCGTGTTCTGCCTCTAAAGATGGTGAAGGACGGTCTGGCTGTCTAGGCACGAGGAAGTGCTTTGCTGAAATAGCCCCGGGCCGCACCCTCCCACGGCACTCTGTGGTCCCTGCGCTCTCCTGCCTGGATCCAGGGGCATCTGAGAGCTGGCCCTCCAGGAACTGCTTGCTTTTGCACTTTGTTAATGGCAGAAAGTGTGGCCTGAAGGCTGCACCTTCCCTTCAGGAACTTAGATGTTTGGGTTTGTGCCCTTGGAGGTTGGAGCCCTGAAAGAAGGTGGGGAGTCGGGCACGCCCATGAGATGGGGAGCTCAGAGGGACCTCGGTAAACCGGCCGGGGAGCGAGCACTGGGATCATTGCAAGACCGACCCTGGGAGACGGCGTGGAGAAGAACAAGGATCCGGCTTCCTTCCTTCAGGACCTTCATCACCTCCTGTGTTTCCCAGGTGGGGACAGTGGCCCAAGCCAGGCCTCGCTCGAGGCCGCTTCCTCCAAGGGGCTGTCCGTGGTCCCCCGGGAGGATTCAGCGCAACTCCGCGCGTTCCTGTCAAGCATCTACTGTATGCCCAGCGTGGTGCTGGGCTCCTTGGGGGATTCCGAAGAAGAGAGTGTCCTTGCTTGCCTGCATGGCACCTGTGGCGTTTTTTGGGAGGGTTCAGAGCAGGGCTTGGGGGACATGTGGTTCTCAATACCTGTAGTTTCTGCCTGCTGGTTTCTCCTTGTTGCCTTCAAGTCCTGGGGGAGGAGGCGGCGTCTTGAGGCCCAGAAGAAACCATTTGGAGATGCAGTAGTAGAGCTCGTCCAAATGACCCTTGTAAGGATCTCTCAAAGCTGGTGCCAAAGGTCACCTTCCTTTCCTGCCCTCTGCCTTTGAGCCTGACATTCTTGCCCCTCCTAGCTTACGAAATCGTTCCTGGGATGGGGCGGGGGGGGCCTCGACATCTGGACCTGGGAGTGGAGGGAAGGGCTGTTTTTGTTTTGTTGGAGAGCAGCTGTTAGAGAATGCACGTTTCTCCTGTTGGGATTAAGTGGGACACGGGGACACGTGTCAGATACCGGACAATCAGGTTGGTGGTCTTCACACCAAACCATTCAGATCCCCCCACCCCCCATGGCAGTCTGCCTGCGAGGATGTCCATGTCTACGCTCCTGTGCGGCCGAAGACTGGGCTCTTTTCCCTGTTTCCCTCCATCTCGAGTCTCTTCAGACCTGTGTGTGTGAGTGTGTGCACACGGGCCTGTGTTGGTAGGTTGGTGGTATTTTTAGACAGAGGGGCGGGCAGCTCTGCTCCTGAGAGTGGCCTTATGTCTCACACTCTGGCCGCCTCCTCTTTCTGGCTGTCAGAGCTGACTCTGAATCTCAACTCTCGAGGCTGATGCAAGTGGGGCTCTACGAAGATGCTCCCCCCTTGCCTCTGGCTCCCTGACATCAGTCTGTGCATGAAGGAGGCTTTGCCTAATGCAGGACTTGAGGTTGTAAGGGCCTAGATGGGGAGATAGAACAGAAATATGGCCGAGGAGGGGAGACCCTGGAGAGAGCACAAGGCTGCTTGATTGAAACCCAGCGAGCTGACTCTCGAGGCGCACCGGACGGAGGGTGTGTTGGAGCTGTAATCCCGGATCCTCTGCTGCCCCGACTATTGACTCTCACCCTCCGACGCCCGGAAAATATCTGGGACCAATTTTTTTAACTCTGCCTATTTGTGTTTGGGTGGGCTCACCCTCTCCTTATTCTGTCCTGAGACGGGGGGCGAAGCTCTTCATTGGGGGAGGAGAAGAAAAACTGTTCGAACCACACCAATGACGTTTTCGTTTGTAATACTTGAAATTTATTTTTTTATTATTTTGATAGCAGATGTGCTATTTATTTATTTAATATGTATAAGGGAGCCTGAAAATAGAAAGCTGTATAGATGAGGTTTAGTTGCTCATTGGTTTGGGGGCCTTTTCTGTGTGACACATGACTTCTCTGTGTTCTGTACATTTGTCTGAATTAATTACGTGGGATGAAGCTGTACCAGCTTTCAAACAGGGGGTGCCTTTCAGAAATTTGTATATTTTGCAGTTGCCAGACCAATAAAATATCTGATTGAAATACACCGACGAAGTGCACTTCTGGGCCTTTTTTGGGGGGGAAACATCTATAATTGACACTTGTGGCCATGTGTCAAGCGTCTACCATTCAGCTCTTGGCTGCCACTCCATTGCCTTCCTCTAAACAGCACATGCAGAGGCCAACTGCCTGGTGCCTGCATTTGGGAAACAATAAGCTGTGTCAACCTGAAAGAAATAGACTTTATCTTTTAGAGCTGTTTTAGGTTTACAGAACAGAGCAAATAGTACAGAGAATTTCCATAGGCCTCCTCTGGCCCCGCACACATTGGTGTGATGCATTTGTTACAAGTGATGAGCCAATATTGATAGGTTATTATTAACTAGAATCCATAGTTTGCACTAGGGTTCACTCTGTGTTGTACGTTTCTATGGGTTTTGACAAATGCCACTGATAAGTATCTACCATTACAGGGTATAGAGTGCCCCATCCATTTCTCCTCCCTGCCATACCCTTTCTCCGCTGCCCCCTTTCAGAGGGCAGCAGTTCTCATAGAAGCGTTGCGGAAGATGACAGGGCCCTGGGCAGGATTACAGGAAGCCTGTTGTTTTAGGTTCTTCGTTCCTTTCATTTCCCCACCCTTCCTCCAGCCCCTCATGGCCCCTTTCACAGTTCCACTGGGAAAAAACTTGATTGAACTTCTAGGACTATTTAGCCACAATTTGAGCAAGTTATTTCACTTCTGAGCTTCAGTATCTTCATCACTACAGATGAGGACGCTATTTACAGGCAGGGCCAAGGGCTGAAAGAGAACATTCATGTGGTATAAGGCAGCCAGAGCATTTCCTTCAGGTAAAGTATTTATGACCTGCAGAGCTCGCACTGGGTCTCAATTTTTTTTCCATAGCCCCCACTGCTACACTCCAAAATAGCCCTTACACCCAAATTAGTCTTTGTGCATCCCTTATGGGCTCTCCCAACCCCAGCTGTGAAGAGGACAGGCGTCAGCTGTGTGATGGGGCAGAGGGTTGTGACGAAGAGCCTGGCCTGGCGAGCAGAGTGCAAACAACCCACTGCCCGCCGGGCTGATCCATGCTTCAGGCCAGCCCCCGAGTTCTGAGCCTACATTTGAATGCTCATTACATGTTGGGTGCAGTGGTAAGGGAGGTGGTCTTCACAGACATGAGTCTTTGCCCCCAGATCAGGGCCAGTCTTTCAGGTTATCTACCAAGGAAATTAGAAGTCTGCCCTGAGAGAGGAGGTGTACATACTTTAAAGTCCTGGGCCTGCAGGGTGATGGGAATCTGCATCAGTTCCATGACCTGAGATAGGTCTCTGTGTGACCTTGGGCGAGGGCTATAATTATTGAATAAATATTGAATGAGTGACCAACTGGATGAGTCAGCGGAGCAGAGGCACAGAGAGCTTCGTGAAGGTGAATGCCAGAAAGAAATTCATTCATCACTGAGGTCCCAAATATGAGCCAGACACTCTGTGGTTTTGGTACCTTGAAAACCGGACTAGGAATTCCCCTGTAGCAGAAAAAGTCATTATGCCGAATACTAACAGCTACGACGCTAAGGACTTAGTGATCTTATGTGACCCTTATGAGTGTCCTGCGAGGTAAGGCTATTATTGTCACGCCCATTTTACGGATGGAAAATTTGAGACTCACAGAACATAAATAATTTACCCAGAGCTGCTTGGCAGGTAAATTTCAGGGATTCAAATCCAGATATCTGGGACTCTAAGATTTGTGGCTTTAACCGTTATGAAATCCCACCTCTGTCTATTCTTGGTCCTTCCAGAGCACTAGTGTGAGTTTTTTCACAGCTAATGTGAGTTAGTGGTGGAACGGGCAAGAGGTCAGGTCAGCTCTAAGCTGCTTGCCTGCTGGACCAGGAGGTTGGGCTGTCCCTCCCATCATGCTCCCCGAGGTGCCCAGCTGGTGGTCCGATGGTCAGGGTCTTCAGGGAAGTCATAAGCAGCCCATCACAAGAAACTGGGAGCTCTGACCCAGATTTGGAAATCCCCAGGTAAGAGCCCAAGTCTGTCGTGGCAATAGTTTCTCACATCAAGAATTTTACTAGCACTGCTGAGAGGCCAAGCAGAGTGCTGTAGCTAAAGGGTGGGTGGGGAGTGGGAGGTGGGTGTGACCAAGGGGATGCTCAGGAAGTGTTTCTGCAGTGAAATGACCTTGGAGAAGATGGAATTGGTGGCCCGGAATTGGGGCCGGGCTGTGCCTGCACTCTTCCCGCCACGAGCTCCCCACCTGTAGGCCGGGGCGGCCGGGAGGAGCTTCCAGCCAGATTGATTCTCATCTCACTTTGCCCTCGGCTCACTTTCCACTTTTCTCACGGTGTGGTTGAGAATATGTTAACTTGGAATTACTTAGTATACAGTCCTGGGGGAGTTGGTCAACTATCTGGGAGGAAAAAGCTAATTAGATCACAGTGTTGCACCCTCCATGTTGACCTAATTGTTTAAAAAAAATCGAAGAAGGAGAAGAAAATATGGGTGAATGCCTAATTTTGTAGTGGGAAAAGACCAAGCTGAAAAACAATAAAAGAAACTGCAAAAGAAATATTAAAATTCTAAGTTCCAGGTCATTAAAAACCATCGTAAGCAAAAGGAAAACAACATGCTGGAAAAATATTTGCAACAAATTTGACCCCTAAATTATCCTAAAATATGAGTTGGAAACAGCCACGGCAATAAGAAAAACAGGGAGACTTTTCTCGACACCTGGACAAAGCCTTTTACCTTATCCTCACCACAAACCTTTGCAAACTTTTAAAGACTAAAGATGGAGCAGCTAAAGTTTGGTGGAGTTAAGTTCCAGAGGTTGTTTTGTAAGCTTCATTTTGAGTTCACATTTTTGGAATGTGAACATTCACATTCCAAATGCACAGCGTGAGTGCATTTGGATCAAGTTTTCCTTGGCGTTTGAGCAGGTTTTTATAGTCAATGCATCAATGGCCTAGGTGATCTGTAAAGGCACTGGTTTCAAC